TTTCTGGGAATTATTTTTTTTTAAATATTTCTAATTATAATAATAAATATCATAAATTTAAAATAAATTTCTAATTGAATATAATCTAGGATAATTTTTTTTTGTTTTTCAGAACATCATCATCATATGTATAGATTTTTAAATCCATTTGATAATAATAATAATAATAATAATGTTAACGTCAAAACACTTGCGTAAATGAAATATATTTTTTTTGGTTATTTTATAAATAAACTAGATTTTCATCTTAAAAAAATATACCATCAAATTAGCAAATATAAACGCAAACATTATTATATATAAATTTATATATATATAATCTTATATAAAGTATATTATATAATATATATATATATACAGTATATACAGGTATATAAATAAATCTGTATTTATAAAAATAAATTGACTAATATAAATACACATGTTTGACATTTTTTATACAGTATATATATATATACTGTATATATATATACTATTAATATATTGTTGGCCTTTTTTATAGTTAACTAAATGTCACAAATATCTAATTTATTGTGTCTAATAAATCTAACAATAATAATAAATAAATAATAAAATAATAAAAATATTTTTGTTTTGTTTAACCTTTTAAATAATCATCACAATATACTGTATATTTCAATAGTAAATGTTTTTTGTTTGTCATATTTCAACAATTATGTAATATATACTGTATATACTGTATATTAAATATTTTTTACATTTAAGGTAAAAAAAAGTGTATGCATAGAAAACAACACTTGAACTTAATTAATATTTAACAACAAAAAATAACATTATTTTTTTAAAATAACATTTTTTGTTTTATTTAAAGACATTATGTATTGTGCAATATATACATAATATATATTCAGTAGTTTATATTTATAACAATATAAATATAGTACAGTACCTTATGTACTAGTTATCTAGTGATTTACTATATTTTACATATATATGTATATATATTGTACAGTATATGACTGTATAGATTATATATATAATACAAAATCAATGAGTTTGCTTACATTGAAATACTAACACAATAATAATAATAAACCAATATAAAGTATATAGCATTATACTGTATAACACATACACACACATACATACACAAGCAATGCTATGTAACTGTAAAGCACAGGTAGCCTACATACAGTACATACAGTACATATACACACATATACTGTATATATATACAGAATATTCTCTATATATTATATAACCTATTGCGTGTGGAACATGATGTTAGTGCACATATACCTTAATGCCATGAACACACACACACACACACACACGATGCTGGCCTACTATATATGTTGGTATGTGTATGCAATCACAGTGTGTAAACCCATTGGTATCCTATTTATCATAACACATTGTATATACTCTGTCTATATATATATATAGCTATAGATAGATAGGTATATATATATCTATAAAAGTGAGGCATCTTTTTTCTATGGATGCATTGCATTGCTCGCAACCATCACTTATATATATATATATATAAATATATAAAAATTACATATACTGTATATATATACAGTATATATATCATTGCATATCGCATAGACATCACACAAAACGATAAGATGATCGCCATTATTGTCATTACTTGTATTATATTTAATAATAATAATATATTATTAAAATTTTTTTAATCAATTATAACCATCAAATAAATTGCTAATTGATTATGATAATACAGTAGTAGTATAATTATTATTATTATCATTATTATTATTCTATAATTTTTATTATTTAGCCCCACCCTGATATAATAATAATTAATAAATTTATTGTATTATTAATATATATTTATATATATTTAGTACAATGAGATGATTAAACTAAACTAAAAAAATTTTGTATTTAAAAATTTATTTTATCGTTTTTTTACTTCAATTAAATCATTATATTATTCACCAAAAATATATATATATATATATATATAACTACAAGAATATTTATCAAGAATTTTTGTTTGGTATCAAATTATATTGAATATAATATAAATAATAATAATAATAATAATTTTTTAATAAATATTACACACAATTTATTTTCAATTATATATATAAATTTATATATCTATATAATTATTTATATATATTAATACATGTTTAATACCATTGATAATAATAATAATAATAATAATAATGTTGATCACAAATCTGCTATCAATTAAGAAAAACTTGAAAATAAGCAAAAAGTTTAATAATAATAATAATTATTATTATCAACACTGTTGTCGTTGTCGTTATCATTATCATCTACGACAACAATGAATAATATTGTGGCGGTAGTAGTGATCAACAAGTGGTTAACCTTAATATCAATAATAATAATAATAATAATAAACTGTTGTTTTCAGCAAACATTTTCATTATTATATTCATTAACTAAGACGACGACGACGACGAAGACTACGACATGTATTTAAGTCCAGTGCCAGAAAAGTCGACAAAAACTAAGTCCGAGCCTAAACAACAACAGTCCCAACAACCAGTGGTTTATAGCCATGTGATCAGCGGTGGCAGCGGCGGCGGTGGCGGTGGCGGCGGCAGTAGCAGTGGCGGCGATGGACCATCAAAACCGTTTGATTGGCAAAAAAATCAGTCGTCCAGACACTCAAAGATAAGAAAAGGTCGTCACCGAAAGCCAAGCTATTGTAGCGATTCGGAGACCGAAAGCAGTACCGGCTGTGCACACGCCTACGGTATGTCTGTATGCCTGTCCATCCATTCGTCCTCCTCTGCCTATTATAATCATATCTATATCTAATCTCTGGTCACTTTTTTTTAAATTGTCAGACGATCTTTGTCTAACTGTTCCCAATACGAAAAAATGGAGTCTACCGTTGCCGGCCGGTCCACGAGGCAGCGAATCCGATAGCACCAGTAGTTCGTGGAGTGCCCGATCGGCCGACGAAACTACCGAAGACGAACGAAGTCCTATTCCCAGTCCCAGTGCCTCAACACAGAGCTGTGAGGCACTGATATCTGAGACACAGTCGTCGGCCGACGAGATTAAAGGTATCATTCATTTCTCAGTTTTTTTTTTGTTTTGTTTGTCTGTTTTGTTTGTCTGGCTGTCTGTCTAACTATACTCCAGTAGTACTGATCCACTCTTTATCTCTCTCTCTCCCTCTAAATCATCTGTATGTTTGTATGTGTATGTATGTGTGTATGTATGTGTGTATGTATGTGTGTATGTATGTGTGTGTGTATGTATGTATGTATGTGTGTGTGTGTGTGTGTGTGTGTGTGTGTGTGTGTGACAATGTGACACACATACACACACTATAAAAAGTATATGGGATTTATCTCAACAGCCACTTAAGTCAATACCTATCCTTTTTAAACTGTAGTATAAACCGTCACCAATAATACTAGTTTAAACTACTAGTAGGTAGTGGTGATTACTATATAATAAAATATCTACTTTTTTTATATTGTTGTTGTTGAAAGTGTTTTTTATATATAAATACAGTCTAAATATAAAATAACATATATATTATTTGTTGTTGTTTTACAAAAATATTGAATCAGACACTTTCAAGTGGTCTCTATATAATAAGTCTACGATATATATAATATATATTAAATTATTAGTAATATAAGTACCGATTTTTGTTGTTGTTGGTTGGTTGGTTACTCTAGGGGGGGGGGTTGTTATACCCACCCCATCCCCTCCCATTTAAATAGCCATTGTCCCCCTCCACCTTTACATATAATTTGCATATAAAATAAATACACATTTGTTGGAAATCTTTTTAAATATAAATATACAGTACATATTAGATTTTTTTCATTACGTTTTTGTTTAAAATTTATAATTATTTTACTTTTTATTACTTTTTATTTTATTATATATTTTATATTCAAAAAATATATAGTGGGGGTTTATGAATGCATATCCAAATATTATAAATCCATATAAATTCAATAGTAATTTATTTGTAGTTATTATCTCAATTGAAAATTATTATTATTATTATTATTATTATTAATATTGACTGGACTAAACAATTTTTTTATTCAATTATTTTATTAGCAATATTTAGCAATAATAGCCTATAATATAATATAATAAAAAATTAATAAAATAAAATTTAAACTTGAAAAAACATGTAAATTTGAATGAATAAAATATAACTAAAATTTTTTTATTTGTCTAAATAATTTTCTATGTCATCTATAATGAAATGATATAATATGTCCAACAATACCAACAACAACAACAACAACAAAAATTATTGAGTATATAAATAAGTGTTTTAAAATTATTTTATTTCATTATAAATATAATTTTAATATTATTAGTATTTTTTGTTGAAGTAAAATTTAAAATTATCAAATTGATTAGATAATTAAATTTTTTAATAGTTTAAATAATTTAATTAGCTATAAATTAGCAATATCATTTAGTTTAATTTGATTATTTATATATACATATATATATTGGAAGAAAATAATAATAATATTTTTAATTATAATTAATGGAGACTCTAGTCGACAGTACAGGTAATATATATATATAAATTATTTACCATTAAATAAAAAAAAAGTTAATCAAAATTATCAATTAAATGTTTGGATACAAAAAATAAAATAGTTATCGATATTAATACTAAATCAATTGTGAAATATTATCAACAATATATAGTTGTCTTATTTTATATCTATATATATTATCTTATAATAAATATATATATATATATTAATAATAATTATAATTAATCTAAAAATACAATTATTTTATTATTCATGTAATTATTATTATTATATATGTAATTTGATATACAATATTTGATATTTGTTTGTTTGTTTTATTATTTGCAATAAATAATATACTATTTTTGTAGATTATTACATAACAATAACAATAATTGTGAAATTCTATAATATTAATAATATTTAATAATAAATATTAGATAATATAATATTATATATATATATATATATATATATATGATTTTACCCGATTTAAGATAATATTATAAATATAATTCTCCGGAATAATTATTTTTTTAAATTTATTATTAATTAATTAATTATTTATTTATTTAATTTTTTTTCTCAATAACATGTGCCAAATGGTTAGCCAAATGGAAACGACCGAAAAAGATATCAAAAGCGGCCGAAACTCATAAATTGCAGCGAATGAAGACAACAAACTACGGGAGGTGTAAGATATGCGATACTTATGTCTACTTTTGGGGCTTTCAATGTACTGAGGTTTGTATGGCAACCCTAACAAAAAATATACCTTAAAAAATATACATTAAAAAATATACCTTTAAAAATATACCTTAAAAAATATAGCTTAAAAAATATACATTAAAAAATATACCTTTAAAAATATACCTTAAAAAATATAGCTTAAAAAATATACATTAAAAAATATACCTTTAAAAATATACATTAAAAAATATACCTTTAAAAATATACATTAAAAAATATACCTTTAAAAATATACATTAAAAAATATACCTTTAAAAATATACCTTAAAAAATATAGCTTAAAAAATATACATTAAAAAATATACCTTTAAAAATATACCTTAAAAAATATAGCTTAAAAAATATACCTTCAAAAATATAGCTTAAAAAATATACCTTCAAAAATATAGCTTAAAAAATATACCTTCAAAAATATACCTTCAAAAATATACCTTAAAAAATATACCTTAAAAATATACTTTAAAAAATAGACCATAAAAAATATACCTTAAAAATATATACCTTCAAAAATATACCTTCAAAAATATACCTTAAAAATATATACCTTCAAAAAATATACCTTCAAAAATATACCTTCAAAAATATACCTTCAAAAATATCTTTTAAAAATATATACCTTCAAAAATATATACCTTAAAAATATATACCTTAAAAAATATACCTTAAAAATATACCATAAAAATATATACCTTAAAAAATATATACCTTAAAAATATATACCTTAAAAAATATATCTTAAAAAATATACCTTAAAAAATATACCTTCAAAAATATACCTTAAAAAATATACCATAAAATAATTATTATTAAAATATTACAATAGATAATTGTATTTATATACTGCTATGTACTGTATATATATAGTTTGTATTTATAATATAATTTTAAAAATATTTAAATAAATATATATATAATTATTATATAATAAGTTTAATTATATTGAATTTTTGTATTAATTAATTAGTTACTAATAATAATAATAATAATAGTTTTCATAATAAAATTTATAATTTATAATTATACGATTCTATAAAGTTCTATATATTAGTTTATATTAGTTTATAAATAAATATTTTATTTTATAATAAGCTATATATTACTATTGATTAATAAAATATTAAATACTTTAAAATAATTAGTTAATTAATTTCATTATTATTATTTTTTTTTTGAAATTTTTTTGTAGTGTCAACTAATAAGCCATAAAAAATGCTTGAAAAAGATGACAATAATGTGTCCGAAAGCACCCTTACCGCCCAAATCAAACATCATGAACATGGATCTGACACTAACCGACCACGAAGTACCCGTACTGGTGGTCAAGTGTACGCTGGAAATTGAACGCCGAAGCTGTACAACGCCGGGTATCTATCGGATGACTGGTGTGGCCTCAAGGGTACAGAAAATATTGAAAAGTTTTGAAAGCGGTCCGCATTTGATCGATGTTAGCGATGTTACGCCAAACGATTTGTGTTCAGTACTGAAAGTATTTCTACGTGAGGTATATATATATATATAGTAGTCATACTGTCCTCTCACTATCTGTCCTCTCACTGTCTGTCCTCTCACTGTCTGTCCTCTCACTGTCTGTCCTCTCACTGTTTGTCCATCCATTTCATCATCTGATTTATACATTATTTTTTTTTAGCTTAAGAATCCATTGATTACCAATGATGTCTACAAAGAGTTTATAGATATCGGCCGCGTATACAAACGCGACGACGACCTACAGGAGCGCAAAGTCGATTTGATTACCGCCCTCCGGTCAGTGGTCGGTAAATTGCATAACAATCATCGCCAGACACTAACCTATTTGATTCATCATCTCAAACGTATAACCAACTATCACGAACAAAATAATATGTCGCCCAATAGTTTGGGTATCATATTTGCGCCAACCATATTCCGGCCCAGGTATGTATGTGTGTATATGTGTGTGTGTATGTGTGTGTGTGTGTATGTGTGTGTATGTGTGTGTGTGTGTATGTGTGAGGGGGATGCCGTCAAAAAAATCCCCTACAAACACTATAATAATGTCTACTGTCCATTCACACCCCTCCCCCCACCGATAGTTATAAACTTTGGTAATATTATAAAAAATAATAATATTGATAATGACACCAATGTTATAGTTAAATGCCAGTCTAACTACTGTATAGTTTTAGTACTAATCATCCCAGCACCATGCTATGTGAAATACCAGTACCTAACTACTCATCGATAAAAACTACCCGTCTCTCTCTCTCTCTCTCTCTCTCTCTCTATATATATATATATTTCTAAATATATAGTTATAGTAATTAATCTATTTGTATTGTAAAAATTTCTAAATATTTTTCAATTTTTTTTATAACAAACTAACTGTGCTCACCATCATCATCATCGCCCAGGGATGCCATAAACGACTTGTTTACTGAAGTATTTGAAGCCGGACCCCAGGCCCGGGTTATTGAACTAATGATCACATTTGTCAATGAAGTTTTCGGACATCAGTCGCAATCGCATAAGTTTTTGTATGAATTTGTTAATTAAATTCAAAAAAATTAATTAATGTTTTATTTATTTAATTTTTTTGGTGGTTCAGACACACAAACAAACAAAAAAGTTTTTTTCCAACAAAAAAATATGTGAATATATAATAATAATAATAATTATTATTATTATAATACTATTGATTCACTAGTAGTAATAAAAACTTTTTTTTTTAAATATTTGTTTGTTAATAGTTTAACAATTTAAAAAAAAGTGTTATTACTATACTATTTCAATCATTGAATATCAATAGCAAACCACCAAAAAAACACAAAATTGTTAAATTTTGACAACAATTTATATAAATTATTGACTTTATAATAATATATATATATATTAAACGTTATTAAATTATCATATGTATATATATATATACTAATATTATTACATTAGAAATTTATAGTTCATATTAATTTTTAACTTTTAAAAATTAATTTAATTAATCAACTAAAATAAAAGAGCTTAGTGTTTGAGATCAACTTATATATTATTAATTATAATTTATATATATATATATTATATATATATACTGATATATAATTTATATTTAAAATAAAACAATATCATTAATATTATTATATAATTTATATGTAAAGTGCTTTCCAATCTGTGCCATTTCAAAAAAAATATATAAATTATATTTATATATATATATATATATATACAGTATATAATATAATAGTTATTTAATTGTCAAACTATATCATTTATAATGGCAAAAATAGATTCAACAACAAAAAAAAATAATTATATATATATATATTATTAGATAAACATATGGTTATACAAACTATTAACTAAAAAAATAGTATACGTTATTTTATATATCAATATATAATTTTTATTAATTATAACAATGTTAAACAAACAACCAATTTTTGATACTCTCATTTAATTCATATATATATATATATATATATATATATATATATATATATATATATTATTAAACCAAATAATTAGTTTTATCTCATTTTTAAAAAATCTACAAACAAAACAAAAAAGTTATATATATATAAAAGCTATTAATTGTTGACCAAAAAAAATAATAATAATAATTAATTAGCCCACTAACCCACCACTAAAAAACTATTATATATATGTTATTTGAAATAACCCACCAGATAATAATAATTAATTAATTAATAATTACAATTACAACATCCAATCAATAGCTATAGTTTTAAAAAAAAATTAAAAATACATTTAGCCTTAACTCTTTACAACAACAAAAAATTGAAATATAATGTAAAAAAATTATTTAGTTATAAAAAATTAATATTTATATATATATATTAGTATTAATTGCTCATATATATATATATATACAGTATATATTTCTAATTTCATTACATATATATATATATAATTTACACATAATTTGACTGTAATAACTAATAAGCCCAATTTAGATATATTAATATATAATATTATTGTTAAAAAAATTATTAGTATTAAAAATGTCTCCTTTAATTAAAATTAATTAATCTAACAAATCATTAACAAAACATGCCTTAACAATATACAGTATAGTAAATAAATATATATGAATCTGTAAACCATTTAAAAACAAAACCAATTATGTAAAAAAAATAATAATTTTATATTGAAATTAAGCGCTTTTTAAAAAAAACTAAACAAAAATCAATTACAGATAGATATATACAATTTTTAATACCCTTTATATATATATAATATTAACTAATTAATTAATTAATTATTATTGAAAATACAAAAAAACATTTTTTCATCATTAATATGAACTTAAAGAGAGAGAGAGAAAGAGAAAAAATCGCTATATATTTGTTTAGATAGATATATATACATATTATATTGAATTTATTAATAAATATTTATATTAAGATATATATTATAAATTAGTTTTGATATCAATAATAACTCCAATTTTAATACCTTAATACAATTAATGATAAAGTTTAATATATATATATATATATATATAATATTTATTTATTTCAAATGTTAATATTGTAATGTTTTAGAAAATAATAATTATAATAATTAATATTAATCTATATTTATATATATATATTTAATATAGTTAGTTTATTGTTATATTTAATACTGGACCAATATTATAAAATTATTATAATAACTTTTAATTAGGATTAATTCATTGCAAACTAATAAGAATAATTAAATTATTATTATTAGTATTAGTATTAAGTTATTATTATTTAAATTAAAATAAATTATCTAGTTCATATGATATATAAATATAATTCATAATGATTTTAGATTTATAGATATATATTTAGATAGAAATAATTTAAACTATATATTATACAAACTATATTATTATTATTATTATTATTATTACTCCTTGATAAATATTTTATAAAAATATTTATTTATTTAATTATATATATATATTTATAAAATAATCTCAAAAACTAGTCATTCATTTAATATATATATATATATATATATGATCTCAAATCAACTATTAATATATAACTAATTAAAATATTTACTAAATATGTAAAAAAACTAACATAAAAATTATTATTATTTTTATTGTTTAAAAAATCATTTATTTTTGCTCAAACAATACCTATATATATATACAGTATATATATATCACTCCTGAGATAAAAAAAAACTATTGACCAAAATATTGACCAAATATGAGACCAAAACATGAAAAAAATAATAACTCATTTTGTTATAATATAAGTCCAATTATTTGTATATATTAATTATAATGAAAATAATAATAATAATAATAAAACTAATAAAATGCCAAATCATATCATATTTTAAAAAAACAAAATTCATATATTTTCAAAAAATTTCAAAATAGATTTTCTAATAATATTATTAATATTAAATAAACTAATTATTTATTTGAATGAGAAAACATTTTTTTTGACCTAGTATATAAAAAATACCAAAATGTAGATAAAATTTATTTTAAATTTATTTCATAAAATAATTTGTTCAAGTTTAATTTGTGAAAAATTAAATTAATAAATTTAGACTAACTTGTATTTATTTGCATTATTATTATTATTATAAAAAATTGCAAATTTCTACACTTGATAACAATTAATTAAAACATTTTTAAATAATAATGCAGTTAAAAATTATTATTATATTTAATAATTTTTTTTACAAACGCATAATTACTTGACAACTCAAACTAAAACATCTACTATTTAATAATAATTTTTAAAAAAAATTATCATAAATAATAATAATAATAATGATAAAATTAAAACTTTGTTATACAAAAAAATATATATTATAATTAAATTATTAAACAATAGATTTTAAGTAATATTTATGTTATAAATCTCAATTATATACAGGTATAATAAATTATATATATTTAAAAAAATTTTATAATTCAATAGGATTTATAAATAAAACGGTATAATAAATTATTATTTATAATTTATTTATTATCATATTTAATAAATAAATCACATATATAAGTTATATTATTATAATAAATGTTATAATTAAAATTAAAACTAATTTATTATATATATATAAATGTAATCTGATTTGTTATTTGTATTACTAATTATTATAAGTTTTTATTGTTTGGTTAAATATTTAATCAATAAAATCATTTACAATATTATTAATTAATTAATTAATTAAAATTTTATTATAAATAATTAAACAAAATTATGTTAAAACTTAATTATTTATATTTTCTGTTTAAATAATAATAATTTAAAAAAATAAATAAATAAAAACTTCTAAATAGTTATACAACAAAAAACATTTGTCTAATTTTTATTTAAAAAATAAATATCATTTAAATTATTAATAAATATATAAAAAATTAAAATTAAATTTTTATTAATAACTTAATTAAAAAAATAATAAAATTATATTATTTTAATTAAACCAATATTTAACTGTAACGTTGTTAATGAAAAATATTTTTAGTTTAACTACATATAAGCCTCAATCAATAACGTCAATATAATCAACAATATAAACCAAAAAAAAAAAATGTATTACAATATAACATAACAGTCATCACAACAACAACAACAACATACAGAGGGGGACAAACATTTTGTGGACGTTATTGATGTCTATTGAAAAAATACTGTACAATACATTAGTGTATTAATAATCGCACAGTCATTGTGTGTAATGTATTGAAAGACTATACGAAACAATACATTCAATTCAATCAATCAGTCAATCGGTTTGATTGTCTCCCGAAAAACAAATCAATTTTTTGTGACCACTTTTTTTTGGTGACCACCAATCCCAATGTCTTTGCCAACAAAACAGCAACGTTTGGTCAGCGCCGATGACGGCGGTTGCAGCGATGATCAGCTACTGAGGCCACCGCAAGCCGACAACAATATCTTATTGAACGGGTATTATACTGACCACCCGATTAATATTACCCGACAATTATTACTATTAACTATTATAGGTTTCGGTCGATTCGTCAACAAGTGACTGGCAGACATCCGCTCGAAGCGCTGGACAAGACATACGATCGCCGTACGGATGGCCATAGTTTTCAACTATTAAAATCGATTCAAGGTATTCACGCACCGTTGCGGCTGATTCACGAACGTCGGGCGGCCGGTCAGATCAATCGTCTACCAGGATTACAATCGTCCAATTTGATGCTCGACGTACTGACCGGTCGGGACGAGACTATTAGTCCCGAAGATTTTCTAAACGGTTTGTTTTGTTTGTTTGGTGTTATTATTGTTGGTGTTGTTGTAGTTGTCTTTACCATTAAATCAATTGATCCGTTAATTTTTGATGTTTTGTATGAAACAGATGTCAGTCAATATCAGGAAGTGATGGCACCGACACATCTGCTCTGCGAAAGACAATTCAATATATAGTGTGTTTTGAATGAATGAATGGATGAGTGGTTTGTGGTAATGATGATTATGAAGAAGATGAAGAAGTTATGATTCATTTATTATTATTATTGAATATCTATTTATATATCTTTTTCTATATATATATATATGTGTATTGTTTGATGGCTTCTTAAAAAAATACCATAATTTTGATTAAAAAAAATTAATTGATTTGTTTTTTGTGGACACATTATTACGGTATTATTATTATTATTATATTAGTGAGAGTGATGTAAATTTACCGTACAATTTGTTTTTTAATAAATTTTCTCAAAAAATGATAATTCATATGTTTATATACAGTATATAAGCGAAAATGTTTTTTAATTTTTTATTAATAATAAAAAATAATATTATTATACATTTGAATTATATAGTTATGTGAATATAGTAATTATTTTTTTATATAAAAAAAATATTTGTCATTTAATTTAAAATTCAAACAAACAAACAAAAACAAATTTAGAGAGAAAGATAGTACTGTATGCCTATTATTACGGTAACGATAAAATTTTATCATATAATTTAATAATAATAATAATAATATTAAACATTTGTTTTTAATTATAATTATAAAAAATTTAATTATAATATTACCGTTAATTCGTTGAATGAATGGGATTTTAAATACATGTATATTACAGTATAATAATAGTACTGTATATATATATATATATATATAAATATATATAAATATATATAAATATATATAAATATATATAAATATATATAAATATATATAAATATATATAAATATATATAAATATATATAAATATATATAAATATATGATATTATATGATATATAGCGAGGTGTGTGTGTGTGGTGTCCACTAAACTAAATCTGTTGTTTGGCCGCCGCAGCGGCCGATACTGCTGTCCCACCACCGCCTCCTCCCGGGCCGCCACTGTGATTGTGATCCAATTTGTTTTTGTTAGTCTTAACCATATAGATAAAATAAGTGATGGCCTCCTTTTCGTAGATGGGCATCGACCGAAAGTGTCGCTGAAGTGACTATATGTGTCGGGGGGGGGAGAGATAATAAATAGAGGGGAATAAACATTACCGATAAGTCATCAACTAATAGGGTATACTGTATATATATATATATATATACCTCAGCCAACTGTCCTTTATTAATACCCGGTCGGGTCTGAATACGGTAGTGTTTCTTATATCGTCTCAATGTATTCACCTGTAGTGTCAACAAATCAACGTCGTGTCCAGCGCTAACCTGACCACCACCGCCTCCGTGTCCTCCGCCGCCGCCAGTGACAGCCTCGGTATCGATGGTCAGTTCGTTATCATCGTCACTGTCCTTACGTTTCCGTTTATTGGATGTCCTGATCGACTGAATCATTTGCTTGTGATGTTCGCAGATATACGAATGCGGCAGTCGCTGGTCAACCGTTAGCCGCAGTTTACGTTGAGTAACCTGTTTTTCGATACGCTTCGAGTACGAAGCGTTGCCGGCTATCCGATGACATCGTTGACTGTCCTCAATCAGACAGCATATGGCCGGACTGCTTGCGGCGGCGGCAACCACAGCCGCTGCCATTGCCGACGGTCCCGTTGCGCCAATATTGGCTGCCGTTGGCGTCGATATAGCCGTCGTCCCGGCCGAAGACATTGTCTGCAATACAGTAGACGCGGTATTGATATTGTTATTGTTGACCGCTGCAGCGGCTGCCGCGGCTACAGCTGCCGATTGATTGGCGGCTGCAATGGCCGCCACTGGATTCGGGTTGATAGCCATTGGTAGCTTTGAGGCCGACGATGACAATGATAACGGTTGCGATAGCGGTATCTGTACGGCTGTTGTAGTCGGCGGTAGCGGTGGTATTGTCGTAGTTGTAGTACTAGTAGTAGTAGTAGTGTGTCCTCCGATATGACGGTAATGCTGTTGTTGTTGCGGGTGGTGGTGATGGTGATGATGATGAGCTAGTGGTGGTGGTAGTGGTGGTGCGTGAAGTTGCGGTATCGGTATTATCGGTAAATGGCCGGACATTACGGCAGCGGCAGTAATGGCATCGCCGACAACATCAACGACAACAACAGTAAACTCATTGTTATTATTATTATTACTTTATTTTATTTGTTATTATTATTATTATTATTATTGAATTACTACTACTGTTTAGTGTAAAGTAATAATAATAATAATAATTGAATTATAAATAGTATTCAATCGTACGGTTTGTTTGGTTTTTATTATTCAAACAGTGTATTCAATATATTAAATGTTATTTTATATTTCAAAACTCATAGTCAATGGCAGTCAATATGTTTTAACAGTTTTAACTCTCTCTCTCTCTCTCTCTCTCTCTCTCTCTCTCTCTCTAATAAAGCGCTTCAATACTTAGTACACACAAATAACGTCAATATTATTGATTTTAAATTTAGCTAGGTAGAAAATATAAGTTTTTTTTAAAAAAAAAAAAAGTATATATAGTTAAAAAAAAATAATTATAATTAAATTGTTTTATTTTCATATGTTTTTTGTTTAATAATTTAATAATAAATTTTTTATTTATTCAATTTGGCAATAATTTATTTATTTTTTTGTTTGTTAATTTTGTTGTTGATAATAATTAATTCAAATTACATATTAATATATTAATTATTATTATTATTATTATTACAAAATTTCACAACAAAATTACTGAAAAGTTTGTTTGATTTAACAAATATCTATAATTAATATATATATTTATATATATATATAGTCTATAGAAAAATTCATAATTATATTGAATGTCTAAAAAAAATTTCTAAAAAAAATTAAACTAATTTTTTTTAGCTGTAATTTAGATTTATTCAAAAAACAAAATTAAATTTTGAAAAAAAATCTAATTATTAGTTATTAAATGAGATTTTAAATATATCATTTGAAAAAAATACAATACAAGTATAATAATTGTATAACTAAATAATTTATTTTCCTAATAAAAATTATATTTCAAAAAAAAAATTAATAGACTAGATTGTCACCATTATTATTATTATTATTAAAATAACTAAAAAAAAATTTTGTTTGTTTGTGTTAATTATATATATATATATATATAATAAATATATATTATATAACATATAGTATATGAGAGAAACAACAACAAAAAATCACAAAAATAAATCCATAATTATTATTAAGATATATATATATATACCAACACAACAATTAATTATTATAATCAGTAGTAATATATATATAAATATTTTTATTATTATACACTACCGGTAATCAATAATTAATAAAAATATTATTATTTCTAATTTTATTTCTAATTATTACTATTATTATTATTATTAAGGGTCGCCTATACTTCGTCGCCTCCTTCACCGTCGATGACATCGTCTTCCGCCTCCTCGTCGAAGGTGTCTTCCGCCTCCTGTTCATAGTTTGACGAATGTTTGGCCAAAATACGGAGCAATGGCCGCAACTTTAGAAACCATTGGCGCTTCATTATTCTGTGTCTATATATATATATATACACATATATAGGTATATATATATATATATATATATATATATAATAACAATACAAACAAAAATAGACACAAAAAACGAAATTTTTTTTAAAAAAACAAAACACAAAAAAAACGAACAGAATATTCTTACAATTATTTTGTTTTGTGATTATATATATATACTGTTATATAGTTTTTATATTATTTATAGTTTTGACACGAATATACAATTTATATGTATATATACTGTATATATAGATATTCTTAAACACGTTAAACACGAGATTCACGCGCGCCCGCGGGATCACGCGATCACAAAAACACGTACCGATAATATATATATATATATAGATCATAGGTACAATAAATTATATATATATATAAATAAATTGTGATGGTTAAATAGCACCAATAGTGTGTGTGTGTGTGTGTGTGTGTGTGTGCGTGGGTGTGTGTGTATATATAGTTTATACTAATTTAATAACTACAAGATAATAGATTGCATATATAATTAATTAAATTAAATAATAATAATTTGCATAAATAATGATTGCCTCTAAAAAACTATTTCAAAAAAAGCAAATATATATATATATATATATATTAACTATCATTTAAATTCACTAATCAAATAATATCAATCAATCAAATTAAATTAAACAATCATTGGATTCCCGGGGTATAAGTGTATCTATGAATCTATGAATCCAATAATCTTTTAAAATCATAGACAGTTGTCTCGGTTTCGCCGGTTAGGCTAACAGGGGTGGCGAGTGCTTGCAGTAATGGCCTTAACCGTAGCCACCATTGTTTTCGTGGTATACGACATCTGATTTATGGATAATAATAATAATAATAACAACAAAGTGATTTGGGAAGTGATTGTTGATTAATTAATTTTTAAGGCAAATAAACAAACAAAAGCAAAATAAAATATAACTTTTTTTTTAAAAAAAAACCAAGCATTTAGTGCATATTTTTGACGATTAATATCAGGGGGTGGTTGCTGGGGAGGGTTAGGTAGGGCGACCCGGATAATAGTAGTTAATTTATAAGTGTAGCAAAATATACGTGCAAATGCGCGGGGGTTTCACTGGGGGGGGGGCAACAACAACAACAATACACGTGCGGTGTTAAAAAAAATATTGATTGATATTTCAAGCATTTAAACTAGCTTAGGCTTAGGTAGGTAATAAGCATACGTAATAAATTAGACATATCTACAGGTGCTTTAAAACAGACACAATTAGTATAAAATATGATATTATTATAAATTAGTTAAGTATTTACTATATGTATTAAAAGTTCTTCATATTAATACAGTTTTAACTATAAATTATTATTAATTTTTTTTTTGAAAATAAAATTAAGACACAAATAATTTCAAACATATATTGATTTAGACGGACATATAGATAGACATACAGTTGGACAGACAGACAGACAGACAACACACCCAACAACAACAACACGGGGGACAACAAACTTACTTGAAATCAGTTTCCAATTTCAGTGTCTGACAGGGCGTAAATCGATACTGTCGTCGGACCAGACCTAACAGTACGGCCGTATCGGGTGTCGAACATACAACCGAACAGTCGGGTTGGGTATGCAATTTGAGCTGTGCGTGCAGCCAGTCGGCAGCTTTGGCAGCCATTTTCGTACCGAAATTTCGATCGTACGGTGTCGGCGAACCGCCCTGTTGCATGTGGCCGAGTATATTGTGACGGGTCGAGAATATATCTTTGCCTTCCTCCGAGTAGAGACGGTAGACAAAATCGGTTGAATAGTTTGCATTGGCTTTTTCGTTGCTATTGTGTGTGTGAAGGAATGGTAGGTTATAGACACACATAAACTATAAACAAAACTATAATATACGGTAGTATTACCGTAGTATAAGACCCCGTTGGACGCCTTCAGTCATCTTCGAGTGCATATGTATGACATCACCCATTAGATCCTTAATGGAAAATGGTTCTTCGTATATGTAGGCAGCGTCGGCACCGCCAGCCAGTCCGGCCATTGTGGCCAAATAGCCGCAATAGCCGCCCATTGTTTCGACGACAAACACACGACGTTTAGTACCTGTGCGCAGGTGGACAACAAAATGCCCGATAATTAATGAAACGGATCGGTAATAATAACAGTTTTAGGATGACATACCCTGAGCTGACTGTCGGATACGATCGCAAATTTCGGTAATCTCATTGAGTGCAGTGTCGGCACCGAGCGAAAAGTCTGTACCGGGAATATTGTTGCTAATAGTGGCCGGTATTACGCACATCGGTATCCTGAGTTCGGCAAATTCGTTGCGGGCTTCGGCCAACTGCAGTATCGAATGATAGGCCTCGAAACCGCCGATAACCAGCAGAGCCTGAATCTTAAACTCTTTGATTCGTTCGACAATCTTCTGGATGTTCTTTTCGGGCAGTGTTCGCCGAGTGCCGAGAAATGCGCCGCCCTGGCCGACCCAACCGGCCACATCAGTCCAACCAATTGCGTGAATATCGCCGTCAATGAATCCGTCGAAACCTTCGTGAATCCCGAGTACAGTGTCGCCCCTGAATATGACATTCCGGACAAACGATCGGACGGCGGCATTCATACCGCAACACGGAGCACCGGCATGCATAACGGCCAACCTATAGCCGCCCACTGACTGTTCGTCGCTAACCGATTTTGGCGGCCGAATACGGGTCAACATTTTATATGTTTCCAAATTGCGTTCAAAACTGCGACCGCGTAGTTTGACAGCCAGTTCCCATTTGCCGTCTTTCATAGCCGTGGCCACCGATTTGGTCTACAAAAATAAAAAACAATTCATATAACTATATTTCAACCGAAAAAATATCAAATCAGATCAGATAATCGTCTTATGACTCGTACTTTTTCCACACATTGCATCAGCGGATATCTGACCGCTTGATTGCCGTCCAGCGACACAACGCACGCTTCCGATTCGGGTGTGGCCTCCAACAGTGCCAGCACTGCTTCGGCACCCATACGACAGCCGAGAATTCGGTCGAAAGCCGACGGACTGCCGCCACGCTGGACATGACCCAATACTGTTATACGGGTGTCCTGGCCAGTACTTTTGACAATAACTTCCTTAACTTGTTCGGCCGTAATGGGATGTCCTTCCCGATCGATGGCACCTTCGGCTACGATAATAATGTTCAATCGTTGACCCATACGTCGCTCCTATATATATATATATATTAAATCAGATCGATTAGGTCCAGTTATTCCCGCAAAAAAATATGACTTCCCCCACTCCCATATACTGTATACACACATACCTGTTCCAGTTTGCGACATATTCTCAATGGCCATTCAGTTTCGGGCGGCCATTCGGGTATAAAAACAAAATCAGCTTCGCTGGCCAATGCAGCTACCAGTGCTAAATAGCCGCAGTGTCTGCCCATTACTTCCAGAATGAATGTCCGCTGATGGCTATTAAACGGGTAAGTGATAACCAAAAAAAAGAAAAAATCATGTGATAATGAGTTAATAATAAGACCGTACCGGTACCGTAAATGAAATTTAAATATTACCTGGAAGCGGTGGTCACAATGGCATCGATAGCTTCGATGATCCGATGCAAAGCCGAATCGGTACCGATAGTCATGTCGGTACCGCAAAAGTCGTTGTCAATGGATCCGACCATTCCGACAATATGCAAATGAGCGCAGGTTTGCTTTTTTTCGGGTGGAAGTTGGCCTACAAAAACAACAAAAATCAATCAATTATTTATATGATCGGCACCGGTAGGTTAAACCCCACCCCCACCACTCCACTAACCTGTTGATATTAGTTCGTCTAACAGTGACGACCATTCCTGTCGAAACAGGTTGGCACCGGTTAGACTGCCGTCGCCGCCGATGACAACCAAATTTGTGATTTCATGTTGAATGAGATTGTAGGCAGCCTTCAGACGGCCGGCTCGTTCGCGAAATTCGGCGCACCGGGCGCTGCCTATTACTGTTCCTCCCTATGTAGGTGTGTGTGTATGATGTTTAGGATATGACACATCAATTAAAAGGTAATAATAATAATAATACTAATCTAACAGGTCAATCACTAACCTTATGTATAATACCCGACACCGATACCCAGGTAGCCTCTTCAATGTGATCGCCGCCATCAACCATACCCTGGTAGCCTTCGTTGATAAAGTAGACACGACAGCCAAGATAGAGACCCATTCGGACAACGGCCCGGACGGCGGCATTCATTCCTATTCGGTATATAAAAATTTATAAAGATTTAGGTGGGAAAGGGATCCACAAAAAAAAAACAAACAAACAAACCTTGAGAGTCGCCACCGCTAGTGAATACGGCAATCACTTTGCCTTTGGCGTGATCTTTCGGTATGTTTCCCTCTTTCGATAACATTAGCGGCCCCTCGTCTACCGTCGACTGTGTCCTCAACCGGAATATCTGCGGTGTCTTCATCTCCAATCGCAGATTGGCCTCAAACGACTCCATTGTCGTAATGTTTTGCATTAATGTGATGTCCAAGTGCTGTGTGTGTGTGTGTGTGTGTGTGTGTGTGGTCACCAATAAGTAATAATCGGTAATTAATCGGTAATTCAGTTAATTATTATTATTAATTTTGGTGTAATAAGTCGGAAGCGATGGTCAAAAAAATTCTTGTCTCTATTTTCTTCAGATGTCTTCAATGATGATGTAATCAAATGGATAAGTGATGTAAAAGTGGATCACTTTTGCAGCATTTATTTTTCTTACTCCTCCTCTCACTGTGTGTTTCCAATGTTTCAAATATGTAATAATAATAATAATAATAAAAATCAAATATTTAAAAAAAAAAAATTTTTGGTTAAAATTTATTTTTCTGATTATAATAATAATTATTATATTTATAGTTAAGTAGTCGCGACACTAGTGTTGAAATTTTTTATTATATAAATTCTACACTAATGTATATACTGTATAATAAACTATTTTCAGGTAATTATAATATAATTACTGTATATTTTTTGTTGTTGAAAATATCCAAATTGTCATTGAACCTCAAAAAACATAGACACATAAAAATATATAATATATATATAATTAACTAACTAATGATTTATATTACTATAGTTTATATGTATGTTATTAGTAGTAGTACTACTACTACTACTACTAATTGGCCGATAATTTTTAAGTTGTTATCACTTTTAGGAATAGATAGATTAAAACTCATGTATTTTCAATATATTAGTAGTAGTAGTGATGTCAGACAAACACTGAATGTCTCCACATATCTCTCTCTCCCTATCCTCTCATATCTCCCATTCCTCTCTCTCTCTCTATCGATGGACTCGTCCTCTAACTTGTCCTTTGAATGTATTTTCATTTATATAATAATAATAATCACAAAATTTTTGTTTGTAGCCAATAATAACGGCACATAAAAAAACAATAACACATTTTATATAAACAGAATATTCTGTGTGTGTTTGTTATATATATATATATATATATATATATATATATATATATATATATATATATATATATATGTGTGTGTGTGTTATGTATGTGATTAACAATTTGGACACAAAAAAATACATTTTCAAAAATAACTTATTTATTTATTTTTATTGTCAATAGATTTCTAGAAAACGTTTTTTAATAATTATATTTATTATATTATAATTAAAAATAATTTTCTGTTATTTAATACCTTATTGTTGTCTATATATATAAAAAACAACCAAATTATTAGTATTGTATTATCGTAAATAAACAATTTTTAAAAAATTGATTTTTATAAACTATAAAAACAATAGATTGCACGAAATTAATGTTCAAATAATAAAAAAAAACTAAACATTTATATGTTTTTCAATATCAATGTCATTCACTTTTTTTTATATATATAAAAATTTTATTTTAATTTAAAATAATTTTTTGTTGTTTCGTTAAACAACTTAACAATTTTTAGTTAAATTATTTCTATATATATACTGTATATATATATATAAATTTATATGAAGTTTAAAACACATATTGATATGAAATTCATATAAATATAATACTAATACTTAATAATACAGTATATATTTAACTAACATTTTAATCATCAGATAATATACAGTTTATAATACATACATACAGTAGATGTCAATCAACAACAAAAAAAAAATAAATAAATAAAATAAAAACCTGTTTCAAAGTCTAATTTTTTTTTTTTTTTGATAATATTAATAAACATTATTATTATTATTAGTACTATTTTTTTTGGTAATAGTTTTTTTAAAGTAATTTTTAGTACTAAATAATTTATATTTAAAAAATTTATATAATAATTATGCTAAATGTGATTATTATAATTAAAATATTATTATTTTGGTTGAAAAATTTACTGTAATAATAATAATAATAACATTAATAATAATTATTTAATACTAATAATACTAAAAATTATATTGATTTATATACTGTAAAATAATAATAATTATTATTATTGCATATAAACTAAAAAATAATGATAAAGCAAAAAATTAATAAAAAAAAATTACAATAATTTTTTTTACGCTTAATTTGTTATTATCTAATAATAATAAACTATTTTATGATATTATTAGTTAAAGATTTTTTTTTTGAAAGTCAATAAAATTATTTAATTATAGTTTCAAATATAAATCCTAATTACATAAAGTCAAGGATAGGATACTATCACTTATTTTTAGTAAAAGTATTAAAAAAAAAACTTTATAATAATAATAATTATTATTATTATAAATCAAAACCCCTTTATTACCCCCCACTTTAAGTGGTGACCCACCAAAAAAAAAATAATATAAGTTTACTTTATAATTATTATATATAAAAAAAAAATTTAAAAAATAGATTTTATATATATTTTTTTAATTAATTATAAAAACAAATTATACTTAACTTACATATAATAATACAGTAATAATAATAATGTATTTTATATCATCATTAAAGTACAAACTTTATTATTATTATTATTATTATTTATTATTTATTATTTATTTACTTAAATATTATTTAAACAAAAAAAATTAAATACCAAATAAATTAAAATAAATAAATATAAAAATTTTGAGACATATTTACTTTAAAATATCAAAAAACAATCAAACAGTAAACGCATGCGATTTGTGTGTGTTTTGAAAACCCAAAAACACATACATATTATGTGGATTATAATTGCATAGATATGTCATGTACTATAAAACAAAACCCAAACCGTGAAATAATAACCGCTCAAAAAAAATTTTTGTTTAGTAATTTAATAAAAAATAGTAAAATAATTTTTTATTTTACAAAAACATAACAATTTTAATAATAATCATTTATACTGTAATTACAATTAACATTAATATTATTATGAGCCTAGTTACTTTTTTGTTTACAACATTAATAATTAAATAAATAAAAATAAAAATCATACTAAAATATCACACAATTTTTTGTTTGTTTATTTTTTATCCTTTATATATATAGTTAATATATTATTATTATTATTATTAATATTATTTTAGTTGCATAAAAATTATTATTGAAAAAATCGGTTTAAAAATAATAAATTTTTTCAATCGGTTTTAATCATCAAACTAAGTAAAACCAAACCGACAATCAAATGTCTAATACATACTCTAGTTTTTTGTATGACATTTGGCGGCCAACACACATACACATACACATACACATACACATACACATACACATACGCATACACATACACATACACATACACATACACATACACATACACATACACATACACATACACATACACATACACATACACATACACATACACATACACATACACATACACATACACATACACATACACATACACATACACATACACATACACATACACATACACATACACATACACATACACATACACATACACATACACATACACATACACATACACATACACATACACATACACATACACATACACATACACATACACATACACATACACATACACATACACATACACATACACATACACATACACATACACATACACATACACATACACATACACATACACATACACATTGTATACTGACATTCAATATTCAAATATACAGTCTATATATACAGCATAATAGGATTACACTGTAGATAAACTTTTCATATATACTGTACTCTACTCTACACTGTCTAGACTACAGTACAGTACAGTCACAACAACAACAACAGTGTTTCAAAAATCGGCGATAAATTTTTTAGTTAAAAAAAATTAATTATTTATAAAAAACAATTATATAGTCAATATTGTCTTAGTCATCAAAATTAACAAGGTATTATTATTATTTAAAAATTTAATATTTTTTATAACATTACATTACATTTTTAAAAAAAAAACATAAAAAGTGGGTATTTTTTTCATTGAAAAAATAATACTATAGTTAAAAATTGTGTATGTACAATTGTTGCGCTAACATATGTTTTAACATTTATATATATATTATATGTTACTTAAATACACTATGATATGATTAATTTAGGATAAATTTATTATTATTTTTTTAAAAAAATAAATATTGTCTATTATTAATTATTATTAATTATTATTTTACAAAATTAAAACAAATTTATACATGCACACATTTTGTTTAAACAATAAAATTAAATGACACTTCACTGCACTACCTGTACATTGACAACACAACAACAACAAACATATTATTACTATTATTAATATTTACATACAGTGTTACTAATAATTAATTTAATTTAATTAATTAATTAATTTAACAAGGGTAATTAAATTAAATTGACATATAGATATTTACCATGTTACAATATGTGTGATGATATAGCTAAATAATTTTTTGTTTATTTTTAGTATTTTAAATTTCTAAAAATATATATATATATATCTAATTGTTATCTGTTAATTTTATCCTAGCATATTTTTATTTAATTTTTTAATTCTATAATTAAAATTATTTTTTAACTTTTTTAAATTTTTTATGTAAGTAAACAAATATTATTTATCTATATATATATTGGTTTAAAATTTATTAAGTATTTAAGGATTAGTTTTGTTTATTTATATAAGAAAAATATTAGATTATCTTAAATTATTAAAATATTAAAGTATTATAAATTAGGATTTAGTTTTTTAAAAAAATACAATTTTTAAATTAATAACATTTTTAAAATATTATAATTTTTTGTTTTAAAAAAAGTAATATAAATATATAATGTCATGTTGCTAATTTAAAAAAATGTGCATCATCATTTATTGTTTTTTTAAAATTATTATTATTAATTAATTATTATTATTTTTAATTATTTAAAACATTCAAATATTTTATTAATTTTCAACAAGTTTTATGTTTTATGTTTGGTATCAAAATTTTACACAAACAAAAAATCAAATAAAATAAAATCAAGTTTACGATTGTATTTGTGACACAATTTTTTTTTTGATACACTTTTAAAAGTGTGTTTTAATTACTGGTAATTATCGGTAAATGAGAGATGCAATCATCAGTCAATAATAATATAGACGATAGCGATGGCAATAATAGTAATTAATTTAATTATTATAGTAAATATATAATAATAAAAAACTATTTTAAACCCATTTTAATAACTAACTTAATACTAACTAATTTTAATATACATATATATATAAACTACTTTATTATTAACTAATAAAACAAACAAAAAATTTCAAAACTTTATTCAAAACTAAATTTTATTATTTTCCCGATTATATTATTAGCCGATTACGAGTTGTCCTCATCTTTGGCCGAGGAGACCAAAAAACCATTGATGATGGACTACGATAGCAGTAGTGCCCGTCAGGACGGCTTCGGCATCGGTGGCGGTCCTATCGGCAGTGTTACCAACTTTTTTGCCTCATTTATCCTATCCCAGGTGTTCGGCCTGTTTATCATTGTGTTTGTCAGTGTCTGGATATCCCGATACTTGGGTGGCATCAGTTTTGCCGATAGTCTGTAAGGATATATATATATATATATATATATATAATACTGATTTTGAACTAACAGTTAATATTAATGTTTGTTTTTGTCTGTATTTTATGTTTATTATAGTTTAATATTTAATTTTCATCCGCTATTTATGACATTGGGAATGGTATTCATCTTTGGCGATGGTATGTATGTACCAGTGCTGTATATATGACTGCTCTGGATGATTGTGTACTAGTAGTAGTGATCACCCAATTGATCCATCACTCTAGGTGTGATGATGATGAGATCAATGGATGGATCTCCTCCCCACCCCCACCCACCAATTTGCTAGACTGTCCCATATATTATATAGATTACATGTAGAGTAATAGTTGTACTAGATTAGTTTTTATTAAAAAAAACTTTATATATATATATATATATATATTCAATAATGATTAGAACAGTTAGAAAAAAATCACTATATTTTTATTTTAAAAAATAAATAAATAAATTTTACCTAGTTGATTTAATATATTATAGTACCGTAATTAACCACCAAAAAATATGGTATTACCGTAATATTTTATAGTCTATTATAACCATAATAACTATTAAGTCGGATATTATTATCTATCGGTTGATATCAGATAACTTATTATTATCATTACTAAAATAACATAATTGTTTTACTACCTGTCTATTATGGTGACCAGTGACCACCCACCCCACCCCACACCAAATAGGGTGTTACCAAATGTTTAAGGCACTATCACTAATGATGATCTAATTGTTTTTGTTTTTTGGTTTTGTTGTCCCACACCAGCAATACTAGTCTATCGGGTGATGCGAAACGAGCGTAAAAAGATACTAAAGATATTGCACGCCGTACTCCATGGTCTGGCCCTCGGGTTAGCCCTATTGGGTTCGTGGTCTGTCTGGTACTATCATAGCTCCAAAGGCATACCCAATCTCTATTCACTGCACAGTTGGCTCGGTCTGCTAACAATGGGACTGTTTACCAGCCAGTACGCACTGGGATTTGTGTCGTTCCTGTTTCCAGGTCTGGCACCCGGCTATCGTCGTATAGTACTGCCCTATCATGTCTATATTGGTGTTACACTGTTTGTATTGGCAGCCGTTACCTCCTTGTTGGGCATTACCGAAAAGGCATTTTTTTCGCTGTAATTTAATTTATTATTAAATTTAATTTTTTTATATATAAATAGTTTTAATTAGTAGTTATAATATTAGCCGTAATTATAATAAGTTTTATAAAATAATTATTATTAATAATAATGATTAGAGATTATATTAATAAATAATAATAATAATTATTATTTATTAATTACCGGTAATATCAATATCAATACATTTAACAATACTGTACTGTATTGATATTTTAATTTAATATCTAAATTTATTATTATTATTATTACCTCGGTAAATTTATTTATAGTATAGTATTATTATTTAAATTAATTTAATTATTATTATATATTTTTCTTATTTATGTCGTATATATATATATATATATATATCAATATATAATATATGATAAGTGATGGTAAAGTAAATCCAAGATATGCCGACAAACCGGGAGCCGCTTACGTAATCAATATGCTTGGCCTGTCTATAGTTATTTTCGTAGCCATTGTCGTCTATTTGGTGACCAACAACCAGTACCGTCGGCGACCGCTACCCGAAGAACAGGCTCTACAGTTGCAGAACGAAGAGACCACTTCAATGAACTGATTGATTGGATTAGAGGATTAAGAAGATTAATGAAGATTAATGAAGAAACTGATGATCTGATCTCTCTATTGTTTGTTTGATTGATTGATGTGTTTAATAGTAATTATTATTATTATTATCGTAATATTATTACCGGTATTGTTGTTGTTGTTGGCAGTCATTTATAATTATTTTTAATTAATGATATTATTATTATTATTATTACGGTATATATTATATAATCATTTATAATATCTCTTTTTCATTGTTTATATTTTATGTATGCACCCACCTATACCACCCATCAACTATTTTTTTTAGTGATATATATATATATAAACTCACCCGGTATAATATTACTATTTAATTTTGTTGTTGTTAATTGAATTCAATTGAATTTTGTAGTAATAGTAGTAGTGTTTAAATATTATATTATATGAATAGTCATTTTTTTTGTGTGTGTGTGTTAATTACGTTAATTATTACGTAATTATTATTTAATAAATTTTATTTTGTTAATTTATAAATTTTTATTTAAATTGACATTTACTAATTGATATTATTGTAATATTTTTAAAAAAAAATAGATATTACTATTATTATAATAATTATAATTATTATCGATGTTATGAAACATATATGTTTAAAATTAATTTTTGTGATAAATACTGTATGCTATTGATTGTGAATTGTGATCATAAAATATTATGACAATATATGACATAACAATTGACAATATATACAATATATACACACAGTATATTTGATATGATATTATTTAAAAAAAATTAAATAAATTAATTCAAAATTAATCAAACAATTTAATTTATTATTGTTAACAAAACAAAAATACATTTTAATATTTTTTGAACATTTTTTAATTTATTAATTATTTATAAATTAATTACAAAATTTACTACTATTAAAATGGTTACTACATTAATATATATATGTTATATATGTTATAAACTTATTGTTATATTAAATGAATATATTATTATTATTATACTATGGAAAAAAATTATATTAAAATAAATGTTTGAATAAATAATAAATTAATGTATAAAAATTATTTTACACAAAAAATAATAATAATAATACAAAAAGCCATTAAAAACTATTTTCAGCCATATATTGACTTTAGTTAAACAATTAGTTTACATAAGACATTGACAAAACACAAAACAAATACAATTAAAAACTAATAATAATAATAAATAAGTTAACAAACAAAACAAAAATTATAAGTAAATATATAATTACTTACCCATTAAATTAAAGTGTTTTTTCATATAAATCTAGATATTATATCAAATTAAAATCAATCAATACTTACTTAATTATGATTTTATTTTTTAAGAAAAAAATTTAATATTTAATAATATATTTTTTTTGGTAGCATTTTCATTGAACACACTTTCAGAGAATTTAGACTGAATTTATACAAAATTAAATTTAGACAAATTTGCAGCCTAAGTTCTCCTCAGTGTGAACAAGTACAATTTTTTGTTTATTAGTAAATTTTTAAAAAATTAATTAAAACTATTAAAAAATAATAATTAAAAAATAATTAATAAAAAACAATCTACAATTTTTTTTTAAAAAGTCATCTATTTTTATACTTACAGTTATAATGTCAATTTGTATTATACTGTATATATATATTTACTTACAATTATTATACAATTACAATTTGTGTCCAGGTAACCGGCTCCGGTGGCAATGGTTTAACGACACTAATATAAATGTTTTAATACTAGTAATTAATACAAATAATTATTAAATAAAAAATAATTTAGATTAGTTTACTTTCAAATAGGGTTATTATATGATAAAATGAGAAAATAAATTTTTATATACATACTATATATACAGTATATATACTGTATATACTGTACACATAATTCAAAACTTTTTTGTTGATAATTTCAATTTTGACAAAATTTATATAATAAAATAAAAATTATAAAAATCAATACTTAACTTTTTTTTTGAAGGTGATATTGAAATATAGAGAAATTATTTTATCATATTTAAAACATTTTATTATTATATTGATTTATATATATACAGTATATATATATAGAAATAGATAAATATATATATATATTGTATTTAATTAAACTAATGTATATTATTGTTGAGGAGATATGGGTAACTAAAAAAAACAATAAAATATTTTATTTTTCAAATAAATTATTTTTTTTGACAAAATAAAATCTTAATTAATTAATTAATTAATTTTTTAAAAATTTTTTTCCCTAACTCTCAGATCATATCATTTAAAATCAATATACAGTACAGTATTTTAGTTAATTGATTTAATTGATTTTTAAAAACTATTGAAAAATCAAAATCAATATTAACAACTATTCATATACTTTCCAACATAATTGATATGAGATTAGTATTACTATTGAAAATTAAAATTATTTTACATCAATATTTATATATACAGTATAAAAATAGTTTGATATTCAAAACTATCAAATTATTATAAGTGACTAACAATATATATATATATAATAACAATAATCTAATGACAAACTTTTTATCTATTTGTTTATATATATAAATATTTTTTTAGTGTTGATGTTGTTGTTAGATATCTACAGTATATTGTATTGGAAATATAAAAAAAATAATTTATTTAATGATAAAAATCAAAACAATATTTATTTTTCTTTTTAAAAAAACAAATTTATAAAACATTATAAACACTAGTATTGTTTTGCCAATTATTATGAAAAATTATTTCCTTAATATTCATATTATATACATCCTCTTTCTCTCTCTCTCTCTCTCTCTCTCTATCTATCTATCTATCTCTCTCTTAATAGCTTTATTTTATTATTGAAAAATGAGACAAATATTTTTTGGGGGTATCATTTTTATTTTTTTAAAAAAAACATTACATAATTATTAATTTACAATATTGTTTTATATTGCTCAACAAATTGCAAACAACTTTATATAAAAAAAATGTTTTCAAAACAGATATTTATTGATAGTTGATATGTTTAATAATTCAAATGTTCAAAAAACTATATATATATATATATATATTTAAAATTTAATATTAATTAATCTGATGGATAAATTTAAATGATTGTTTGGCCAAATATTTACAAAAAAAATAACATATATATAACTTTTTAAATAAAATAATTATTTTATTAAAATAATAAGCATGAAAAATGCTGTATAAATAATATGTTTGTGTTATACCAAAAAAAAACGGAAATATATTTGAATCTAATTGATTATTAAATTGTATTATATATATATATATATAATTTAATATTGATATTTACTTTATGAAAATGTTTGTACAATTTTTTTTAATATACTGTAATTTAATATTAACATTATATTTTTTTGAGAAATTTAATATTATTAAATATAATGCATATTATGATGCAATTTATATTTTTTAAAATAAAATTATGTAATATTAATACATAACTTGAAATTTTATTTATAAATTTTTAGACAAATCAATACAATGGAAATATATATATATATATAGATATATAACTTATATATATATATATATATATTACAAAATACAACACCAAAAATTGATATTTCCTATTATTTTACAAATATATATATATAAAAGTTTTTTTTAAATGGTTAGTTATCTACAAATAAAATAGTTTGGTTTAAAGTTCAACAAAAAAAATAATATTCAACTTTATATGTATTATATCATTATAATAAATATTGAATCTTAAATACACATAAATAAAAAATTTAAAATTTTTAATAATTTAATATATTTTTTAAAGTATATATATATATATATATAAACATATATATATAAAACTTGATTTATAAATTAATAGTTAATAACTTAATACTGTACTTACTGTTTATCATAATTTTGTACATTTATTTGTATAATTTTTTTTATTAAAAATTATTATTTTTATTAAATAAAACATTTCAAATAAATTTCAACATAATGAAAAAAGAAAGTTTTATTTTTATTTAATTGCACAACAAATTATAATTTTAATATTTAATTTTTTTTTAGTAAAATATTATATGTTATTTTTGTTAGATAAAATAAATTTAATGTTTATTTTTAAATACAATAAATTTGGTAATAGAGATTTTGTTGTAATAATTTATAAATTTTTAACATTAGATATATTGTATTTAATAATAATAATAAATAATAAATATACAAGGATAATTTTGTTTTGTTGGTAAATCACATTTATAATAAAAATTTTTAATTTAATTAAATATTTATAATAACATTTTATTATATATATATATATATATATTTATTTAGTCTATTGAAAGCATAATAAGTGATGATATAATATTTTAAGTATATATATATAGTTAATTTGATATACATTATATATACTGAATATATATATATATATATATATATATATATATATATATATAAAACAGCAATTTTGAAACTAATCTAAATTTTATAATAATATAATAACTTTAGTATAAAATAATGTTTTTATTTTGTTTTGGTTTTTTGACATAAGAAAAATGTTATTTGATATTTAACACTGAAATCAAAATATTATAATATAATCACACAAACAAAATAAAATAAATAATTTTTAGGCATTTTTTTGTAATTAATTATCATATCATTTGTTAAAATAAAATAATATATATATATATTAAAATGTTTTTTACTTTTTTTTAAAAGTAACATTTATTTTTAAAAAAATTAATTGTAGCCAATAGTGCTCCAGAAATTTTGGGTCATTTTTATTATTAATTTAAAATTTAATTATATATTAAAATGGTTTTTGACAATAATAACATATATTTTTAGTAATATTTAAATAATTTTTTATATAAAAAATTTAAAAATGATATTAAATTCATATATATATAAAATTATTTAAATTATTTTATAATAATGACCCATAATTTTCATATTATTTCATATAATAATAATAACAATAATAATTTGTAATAATAAGTTAATAAACATTTAATTTGTAATAATAGTACTACAAATAATAATAACAACAACAACAATAAATTAACATTTAAATAGCTATTAATAAATATATATATATTATATATAATATATATTTTTTTCGGTAACAACAAAATTACATTTTAATAAAAACATTTACAAACACATCAACTCAAAAATGAAATATAGATTTTATTATTTTTATGAATATCAATAATAACACCAATAAATATCATTTTTATGTAATAATAATAATAATTTGAAACAATTTATTATTTCAAAAATAAATATAAATTTTTTTACTGATTATTACTTATTTATATATTATATATTTATCATAAGTAATAATCAGATATATATATATTTGTTAAGTTTAATTACAAAAAATTGATTTATATATTAATTTTCAATCGTTAATCAAAATAATATAATTATAATTTGATTATATTTTTGTTGCTGTTGTTGTTGTTGTATAATTTAATTTAGAAATAATTTTTGATTTTAAATTACTAATCAATACTATTTTTTGATTTAGTTTATAAAATTTGATAAAATAAGTTAAAATAAAAATTTATGTATGTGTTTATGTAAACTCAATGTAATATCTATTTTTAAAAAAATCAATTTATATAAATCAATTTTTGAAACTAAATAATTATGAAAAACATTTTTTTTCAAACAAATATATATATATATATATATATATATTAATCGATTATTTTAATTTGTTTATATAGAATATAGACATAAACAACACTAATAATATTTATAATAATAAATAATTGTATTATATATATATATATAAATAATAATAATAATAATATTATATATAATTTTTTTTCTCTTTCATCAAATAGGAATCAATTTATGGAAATAAAAAATATCATTAATTTATTTGTATAGGTATTTGAATATAAATTAGATATCAATTACTGATTTTTTTTAAATAAAAAAAAATCTGAAAAATAAATAAATAAATAAATAAAAGTTTAGTTTTTAGACAAACAATTCTTGTTATTTATTTATTTAATTCTCTAAAGGTTTTACTTTTCAATTTGTCTTTTAAAATATATAGAAATTTTGATATATGTTTCTTATAATACATATATATATATGGTATATATATTGATAGAGTTTAATAATAAATTATTTTTGAAATAAATTGATTTGAAATGGTTTTCATCATCAAAATACAGTACTACTACTACTACCACCACTGTTATTAGGTATATTAAATAAAGTCAATAAAATAATAATAATAAAAAAAATCTTTTTAAAATCAAACTAAAAGCTATGTTTTCCATATATATATATAGATTGACTGATCAAAAAAAAATTGAATTTTCTAATGCTATCAATAATTCACAAATAAGTCAATTGAAAAGTAAAAGCCATATGAGAGCCATATATATAATATATAGGGAATGATAGGCAGTAGCTCAGGGATGTTAATGTTGAGGAATACCAGAATTGTCTTTTATACTAATAATAATAAATATAAACTATAAAATGTTATGTGTTTTTTTTCACCCAATAACCACAACACAAAAAAAAACAGTATAGCAATAGTAATAGTAATAATAATAATAATAGTCGCGGTGTGTTTGTCATCCAACAACAAAAAAAAACTATATATAATATATATATATATAATATCTAACAAAAAAATATATATATATAAGAAAAAAGAGAATATAAATACTAATATTAATAATAATAATAATACGAAAAATAAAAGTCAATTCAAACAAAATATCAGTTTTCTCTCTCTCTCTCTCTCAAAAAAAACAGTCACAAAAAAATCATATAAGAGATGGAAAAAATATGATGTTTTGTTTGAAATGTTATTTATTTTTATTATATTTTTTGTTGATTTGTTTGTCTTTATCTTTGAATTCTGTCTTTTTTTTAAATAAATTATTTGTTCACTTATTCTTCCACTTCTTATTCATCTATTCTTCTAACTATTCATTCAATTCAAATCAGTTGTTTTGTGCCAACGCCTTGAGTATTGCCTGAACTTCTTCGGCAACGGCGGTCAACACGTACTCGAACTGGGCTTTTGTCTTAACCATTGCCATCCGTTGGTCGCGGATGTGCTCCAGAGTGGCCGCAATATCGATCTCTTTGGCCCCTTTGGTCATCCGATTCAATACCATATCGATGACCGTATAGGTGCCCGTACGCCCGGTCCCATCACTAATAGATAGTTTAATATAGAGTAATATTAATCAAATTTTTCAAAACAATACGGTTCTCCCACCCCCACCCCTCTATAACATATATATATATATATATATAAATACCTGCAATGTACAACAATAGGACATGCCCGGCCCCTGTAGGATTTGTTAACTTTCCTATAAAAAGGTTAAATACATAAAGAAAAAAATAAATAAATATATATATATTAATAATAATAATTAAAAGTAAGTAAAATAATAATAATAAATAATAAATTTTTAAATTATTATTATGTTATTTATTATTATTATTATTATTAGTACCGTATTATACTATAATAGATATTGTATTTTATAAAAAAAATAGTAAACATTATTTATTTTTAAAAAATAATATTTATAGATTAATTTTTATTGAAAAAAAACAAATTGAAATTAAAGTTTTAAAAAAATCGTTTTAGTTATAGTAATATTAAGTAAACAGTTATTTTCAGTGATCAGTTAGTAGTAGTAGTAGTGGACAGTTAGGTTTGCAGTAGTAGTAGTAGTAGTTATGTAAGCGTCGAGTTAGTGTTAATCTGAGACATAGCCATCACTTTTGTGACTATGCAATTAATATGCGGGTACCCGAAAAAATGGCCAACACGCAATTGCACCAATCACAAAAATGATGACCATAGCACAGGTAGGTAGATAGTTGATGGACAGTCAGTCAGTCAGTAATAGTAGTAGTATTAGTGAGAAGTATATGCCGCCAGAAACACAATAGTTAGTTAAGTTATACGTACAGTACGTACAGCCCGCGCACCGTTAGATTAGTAGTTAAAAAAAAGTTAGTATAGTATAGTAGTAATAGATAGTAGTTAAAGATAATCATTATCGTTGAGTATATATATATCATCAATTTTTTTTGGACGATGGAGAAGCTGTCTAGCATACTGTTACCAATTAGTTTATATATATATATATATAAATTAAAGTGCAATCGACTTAATGTATTGATAAAATTATCGCTAAATTTAAATGCAATTAATGAAGTGAATTGGGTTTCGAGTTTCAAACTTACGATTTCAAACAAATCATTTTAATTGTTATTTTTTTTTGATATACTATATATAATAAATAGACTATAAATAAACTAAATTGTGATTTTAATTAGATTGTCGAGATAAACAATTAATAATAATATTGTTATTTTTTATATAAATATAAAACAAACAAACAATCATTAAGTTAGATATATATATATATATAATATACAGATATAATAAAAATACATTTTAAATTATAATTAATAAACACACACACAAAATATATAAACTTAAATATAACTTTATATATAAGTTTATATATATATATATATATATTTAATATTTAGTCATAAAACATACACACAATAATAATAATAATAATAATACTGTAGAGTACAGTAGAATTTATATATAAATATATATCTATATAATCTATAGAAATATATATATATTTATATATACAGTATATATAAATATATATTGTACTGTATATACTATATGCCATACCATATCATCCCATTCCCATTTTCTACTGTACTCTACATTATTATTATTATTATTATTATTGTATATATATATCAGGCTATCAGGGTGTTACTGACCTCCTAAACTCCAGTATCGCTTTGGCACTGGGAGGTACGCCATTTTCGGGCCACGACAAAAAGTGAAACTGTGTAACCGTACGGGTTTCGCCGGTTTTCAAATTTTTCAAATAAAAACTCCTAACCAAATAGTCGTCCGACCAGATATGCTCCGATACCAGATGTACCTCATAGTTATGATAGACTTCGCTACCCTCTTCCGGCCAATAACGGTGACACATGGCCACACCGTTTTCCATTAAACGGCTTAACATTACAATGATAACGCTGCCCTGTTCCCATACCATCTATGGTTGATGATGATAATGATGATGGTATGGTTGGTTAGATGGTTGGTTGGTTGGTTGGATAGTTAGTCGAGAGTGTGTTTGGGATGGAGTGGTTGGATAGTAGGAGTGGGCGATCAAAAAATAAATCATAATTAGTTTTTAAAAAAATCATATTTAGTTTTTAAAAAAATGATATTTAGTTTTTTATAATAAAAATCATATTTAGTTTTTAAAAAAATAATAAATATTTTCAAGTTATTGTAATATACTATCATATAATGAATGTATGATTGAAATGTATGATATAGTTTAAGTTGATTTTTTGTTGTTGAATGTTTGTTTGTTTATATATATTAATTGTTATATATATATATGTTAGATGAGAGCACCCACCTGCCAGAAATCGGTAACTGTGTGCGCCAATGGTCCCTGTGTTGCTATATAAGCCGGGTTTCGTGGGTCGTGATCAGTCTATATATATATAAATATATTGATAAAAACAATAGGTATTAACAATCTTATAATTAAACGGTGATTGTTATCGAAAGAGAAAGAGAGAGAGAGAGAGTATTTTAATTATTATTAGTAGTATTTAGGATTAATAATTAAAATACTAGAAAAACAAAATATAACAAACAATTATAACGGATACTATATGTTTCACTCTAGAAATGCATTGCAATTATATACGGACATAACTGATTATTAAGTCTAATATGTATGTACTGTATGTGTGTGTGTCTTAAATAAATTATACTCTTATATATATAGTATATCTATAATGTCACTTATAATTGTGATAAAAGACAACAATATAATAAATAAATAAATAGTTAGACAGAGAGAGAGAGAGAGAGAGAGAGAGAGAGAGAGAGAGAGAGAGAGAGAGAGAGAGAGAGAGAGAACTATTACTTAAACTAAATAAGCATTTAATAGACTTATAATAGTAATAATCGATGACAACTACAACAACAACAACAACAACGACTAAACAGAAAGCAAATGTCCATATAATGACACAAAACAACAACAATAACTAAAAAGCCCTTTAATTAAATTGCTTTAACTAATTAGGTTTTTGTTGTTGTTGTTGGTGTTGTTGTTGGCTTATGTAACACAAATAAGATACATACAGAAAAAAAACTACAACAACAACAATAATAAAAACTATAGTTAGATATACAGTATATATATTGATATATAGATAATTACGATAGTATTGGCATTGATATAATCGGATCCGGTATTGTTGGCCATATCGTTGAGTATGACACGCGAATGATCGTAGGGTAAGATATCGGAGAAGCGATTTTTCTTAGCATTTTGCGGTAAACCAGCGGCCAATGTTGAACATGGATCGGCTTCGTAGGCGCACAGAGCCTCCCATTCCCTATCCAAGCGATCCTTTTTCTTTAGATGGTCTTCCATATAGGACTGTCCATCAATTAATTTACAATAATTATATGTTAGGTATATAGATATATATGTAGTATTTTGTTTATTATCTCAAATACCAGTATTAGATGACCAGTCGATACGTCCATATTGGAGGCCACGGGCTCTTCACTCCTGTTTTTTTTCAAATAAAATAAATAAATAAATAATTTTATTATTCAAAAAAAATATTCAATAAATTAATTATTATTAATAGAAATCTATTTAAATGAATAAAAATATATACAATATATTGATATGTATATAATTAATATTTGAAATATGAATAATTCATTATATAATATAAATATTATATGATATTATATTTCATAAAAATAATATTATTATTTTGAAAAATGATAAATAATATAATGAAAAAAAAATTATTCAATTTTTTTAGTTCAATAATAAATTACAGTAATATTTCTTAGATTATATGTTTTTTATTTTGACAAATAATATAAACAGTATATATATATTAAATTTAAAATATAAAAAATAAATAAAATTTTATATATATATATAATTTGTCAAAATATAAAATTATTATATTATAGATTATGTTTGATTTTAAAAATAACAGTTACTTAACACATACAACACAAAATACAAATAAATAACATTTTAAAAGATAATCTTTAAATGTATTTATTCAACATAAATGATTATATTATGCTATAATAATAATAATAATAGTCAGTAAAATAAATATATACACTATTATTATTATTAAGTAATAATAACAATAAAAAAATGTATTTTAAATCCAATACTTATTAGCATAAATATCATAAATTTGCTTTTTTTGTAAGTAAGTGTGTAACAAATAAATTACAAAACAATTATTTAAAAAATAATAAAAATATATATATATTTCTAGTGGTTGTTTATCATTTTAATATACTATATATAAAAATATAGAAAATATAAATCATTTTAGATTTATATAAATAAGATATTACATTATATACAGTATATACTGTATAAAGCCTTTAACAAATTAGGATTATCTCTCTCTCTCTCTCCTCTCTCTCTCTCTCTCTCTCTCTCTCTTTACATGAAAAACTATATTATCGTTAAAAGCATAAATAATATTTAACAATCAATATATATATATATATTATTTCATACACAAGTGTATAGATATGATATATTGTACAATATATATATATATATACCGTATACAGTATTGTAGTTTAGTATATAAGTATATATATATATATATATAAATAGCCAGAATAAATGTTTCTGTCATTTATATATATTAAGTTATAATATATTTAATATTATATATATATATATAAATATATGGTATATAAAAAATAATAATAATAATAAACTCAAGTGCTATATTAAACATAATGGTTTATTATTATATACAGTATCCACATATAATGTAATATTGGTGTATTAGCTTAAGTGATAGCAATTAAGATATTATTATTATTATTATTAAAAATATAATATATTATTTTCTCACCAATAATAATATTGTTATAAAATAAAATAATAAAATAAAATATGAAAATTTAAAAACATTTTTAAAAATTTAATAAACACTAGAGGAAAAAAATCTTAGTTACATATTATAATATATAATTTTAGAAAAAATAATAATATGCTTACATTATCTAATAATAATAATAATAATAATAATATTTTATTATTAGTTAAATAAATTTTTCTTTTAAGATGAGATATATATATATATATATTATTTTATGTAATATTATTATTATTGGTAGTAGTAATGTCATTAATATTAAGTATTGACAATATTTGTAAGTAGTTTTTATATATAAACAGTAATAAACATATATATATATACTGTATATATTGAAAGAGAGAGAGAGAGAGAGAGAGAGAGAGAGAGAGAGAGAGAGAGAGAGAGTAAGCAATATAAGGGCTTTCATAATATCGCTAGAATTGGGTTCAAACATACAAACTACTAAACAAAACAAAAAAAATGGGTTTTTCTTATATATAACTTATACGATATACTGTTTATATATATAAATATATATATATATTATATCCAATGTATAACATTAATCTTTAATGTTGCCATCGCTATCATCTCTTTTATCAGCGGTCCTCTCAATGGACACACAAACACACACACATAGAGAGAGAGAGAGAGAGAGAGAGAGAGAGAGAGAGAGAGAGAGAGAGAGAGAGAGAGAGAGAGAGAGAGAGAGAGAGAGACATGTACTGTACATACTCTTTGCTTTTATTTTATTTTTGCTTTTCAAGCGTATAAACAGTAATAACAGTAAACACTGAGTTGAGAGAGAAAGAGAGAGAGAGAGAGAAAGAGAGAGATAACAAATATTTGTATTGTAATGCAGTAATGGTTAGATTATGTGTGTGTATGTGTGTGTGTCCGTCCATATATAAGCCCATATACAACAACATACACACAAAAACTATATCCAAAAACTGTTTCAATATTATTGTACTATTTAGACATTATTGGCCATTAATTTATCTTTGACCAGCAGTTTACTTTACGGGTGGATAATGGTATAAACATATTATACATTATTGGTATATACAGTATATACTACAAATAAACTGTTTAATATTATATATAAAAGTTATATAATATATATATGCAGTGTTTTTCTACGAAATATACTGTATATATATATATTAACACTTAAGTCAAATGGACTCAAATCCCACTCAAGAGAGAGAGAGAGAGAGAGAGAGAGAGAGAGAGAGAGAGAGAGAGAGAGAGAGAGACTAAAACATAAAAATCAATTTTCTTTCATTTTTATTAACTTTTTTTTTACTTTTATTTCTAACTACTTATACGCTATTTTTTATATATACTTTATTTTATGTGTGTATTTGTATTTCATTAATTTGTGTATTAATGTGTGTGTGTGTGTGTGTGTGTGCTTAAGCTAAATGCTAGAAATTGATAAATAAATTTATATAATAATAAAAATTAAAAAAAACAGTTACTTAATAATTTAACAGTACATATAAATTAAATAAATTGATGTATATCAATTATCAAGTGTGTTTGCATAATAATAAATTTTAATGTACTTATCAAATTAAATTTTTTAAAACTATTTTTTAATGTTAATTAAAACTAAAATAATGAAATAATTAATAATAATAAATAATCCGCATATACAATAGTAATAAATTAATAATATAATAATTAATGTTTATTTTTTTATTTTTGTTAATTATTATTTATATTTATTCAATAATATTATTATTATTAAAATTTATTTTTATATTACTATTTAAAAAAAAAATTAAACAAATAATAAAACTATTATTACTTCATGTTTAAAGTATTAAATATTAATAATAATAACTAACAAAATAAATAGATATTTTATTTGCATTAAATAAATGTTGAGTTAAATATATCTATCTATATACTGTATATATATATAATATCATATCTATACAGATAATGTTTTTTTAGAGTTTTTCATTTATTTTAGTTTTATTTTTTTCAAATGTTATTTTTCAAAACAAAAAAAAAACTAATGGTTTTTATATCATCTGAGAAGTTATACATCTGGACAGTGATACCAAAAAAAAAAATCAGATGAATGACATAAACTTTAGTTTTTAAAAGCAATAATATTATCTTAAAACATAAAAATATATTTATATATTAATAGTAAATACTGTATATTAAAAATACATTTTCTCTCTCTCTCTCTCTCTCTCTCTCTCTCTCTCTCTCTCTCTCTCTCTCTCTCTATTTTTACTATTATTAAATAATCTACAAATATATATATACAGTATATATATATATATTTAAAAAATAGTAAAATATGATGTCATTCATTAATATTTAAAAGTATTACTATTATTACATAAATATATTTTTTTTATTATAAAATTTTATATATAGTCAATGAATTAAAAATAAAATAAAATAAATGTGTCTTAAATTTAGACTTTTATTATATAATAATATTATTGTTATTAGTATATATATTATTTAGTTTAGCGTGTAATATACAAATTACTACTTTTTGTTGTTGTTTTGTTGAAAAAAAATTATATATCATTTACCAGTTAAATATATGGTATACCATATAATATATATATATACATACTATTTATATATATATATATTATTTATGTGGTATAATTTTATAGGATATTCTTGTAGTAAATTTTAAAAAAATGTGATATTATTTTTAAATGACTGAAAATAATTGATTGACTATTATATAAAATACTTTTATATCTAATTGAATACACAATAAATACAATATAATAATCAGTTAAATCTAATTAGGCATTATATTTATCTATATATATCAATATATATATATACAGTATATATATATAGTGGAAATGTTTTTTTATTCAAAATATTTCATTACTATTACTACTAATAATAATTACTGTGAATCATATAGTTTTATAAATAGGTTTAAAATAAACTACTATAAATAAATAATAAACATAAAACATATATCCCCCCAAAAATATCAAATATACTGTATAGTTATTAATATAACTGATTTTTTTTACTAATTTTTTGTTATATCAATCAATGTGGATATCAATAGTAAAACTTAATAATATACTGTAGTAATTACATATAGTTAGTTATTTATTCAATATATATATATATATATATATTCCTGTATATATATACAGTTATAAACTATAAATTAAACTTAATATAGTACTGCATATAATAAAAAAAATAATTGTATAGACCAACAAAAATTAATTGTGTACTAGTTTTTTATATAGAAAATAAATAATATACACTAATTATTTACAGTATATTAGATTTTAATAAGCAAATTAAAATCTAATATACATTAATATATAAATTAATAAATATATTCATATCAATCAATGATTAATTTATTTTTGTAGTATATAAATTATAATAATAAAATATAATAAAAAATTACCATGATGAAGTTGATGATCTGCTTGGTGGACTAGCTTGGGTACCGTTACCGCCCTCGCCGCTAGACTGCTGGGACAGTTTGCTGACCAGTTTGCCCCGCGTATGGACACCAGTACTGCCGGTAGGCGTAACCTGTATTGACTCCTGTTTTTCATTAGACTTATTATGCATACGCTGTCGGCATAAATCCTAAATAATATATATTTTTAAAAAAAAAATAAATAATTTAATGAATAATATATGTATATATATATATAATTGCTATCAATTGAATTGTATTGAAATGAATGAATGAATAAATATATTAATTAATGAATTGAAATATTTATTTTTTAAATGATGAATTGAATCGTTAATTATTAGTTGATTGCATTTATATAAATAAATAAATATATATTTTTTTGTATATAAATTTAATTTTCTAATTTGAATGTAATGTAAAAAATATAAGATAAATAGTTCATTAAAGTAATATAATTCATATATAATATATGTTTTTTTAAAGATAGTTTAAACATAATTATTATTTTATTTTTTTATTCAATATTATTATTTTTTAACTATCATATTATTGATGAAATTATATGTTTGTTTGATTGTTAGTTTGTTGTATATCAACAACAAAAAGTTTATTCAAGATATTAAGTATATATATATATATATATTGTTTTTATATTATAAGTAAATCTATTAATGTTTTTTGCTGTTGTTATCGATGCGATTACTATCAATTATATCCATAATATTTGTTAGTTTTTTGTTTACAGTTAAAAAATTATTTTAAAGTATATTTTATTGTAAACAAATAGATATACTTTTTTAAAAAACTAATATAAGCTTTTTAAGCAAGGATAACTGCAATTAGATTTATTTTTAAAAAAATAATAATTTACAAATAAATACAGATATATTTTATATGTTTGTGATATAATAATAATAATACTGTACTTAAAAATTTTACTTAAAAAATGTTTTTTTCTTTCTCTCTCTCTAATATATCAATATATATATATTATTTTAAAACCCTATAAGTATTTACTTATGATTTTTGTCTCACTTTTCACTGAGAAAAAAAACTAAAATAAAATGTGAATCTTTATATTGAAGAGAGAGAGAGAGAGAGAGCATACAAAAAGTTGAGATAATTTTATTTTATATGTCTCAATGCTATCACAAATAAATTTTATATATATTATACGGTATATAACACACACACACACACAACAATATTTGAGATACACAGTCAATATTTGAGATAAAATATAATATAATATATATATATATATATTAAGTGTGAAAGCATTTTATATATTATTTGTTAAATCATATCTCGTCTCTCAAATAAAATGCTGTATAATATTGTGTTGTTGTGTTGTGTAGTACTACTACTACTAGTAGTAGTAGTAGTAGTGGTGATAGACATCATATATATATATAAAGTGGGAATAATTGAAAAAAGATTAATTTTTTCCGTTCAACAGATTTTTTTCATATTATTATATATTTTTTTATTTTCATCAACCAATTGATATATAAAAAAATGTCATTAATATAGCATTATTATATAATATACATTATATAATGTATATATAATGTATATATATATATATGTATATATACAGTACACACACCTGTATAATGGTGTCTATAATTTATAGCATATATATATATATATACTGTATTGTATTGATGTACTGTATATTATTTATGCCAATGATGTTATATTAATAAATATAATAATAATAAAATCAATTTTTTTTGTTGAAACTTAATAACACAAATCAATAAGCAGTACATTTCATATGTATATAATTTACATGTAGATTACAAGTGTGTGTGTGTGTGTGTGTGTGTGTATGTGTGTGTATGTGTGTGTGTGTGTATGTGTGTCTATCTATGTATGTGTGTGTGTAGTAATAGTTGATTTGAAATAATAAATATTTACATAATATAATACAAGAAAATAAAACATTTTTGAATTATATATATATATATATATATTGTTGTAGATTTGTTTTTTATATAAAATAATATATATATAATATTTACACTATATACTATAATAATATAGTAAAATAATTGATTTTAAAACAATTGTTACTATTAAATAAAATTGTTTTTATGTTATTTTTTCAATAACAAAAAAAACGATTGACTAAATAAACAGAATAATAATAATAATAATAAAAATGAATTATATTTCAGTATTTATTTGCAATTGAGAATTAAAAAAATATTTAAATTATAAAAACATTTAAATTTCAAAAAAAAACTTTCATGTATTAGTATTGTTATTAGAAAATGCAAAATATAAATGTTTTTTTTAAAATGCTAACCAATTGTTTAATTTATTTCTATCAATATATATATTATATTGTACTATATATATATATATATACACTGTATTATTATGTATATAATAAATTAGATAAAAACAATAATGTGTTTTAATAATGTGTTATAAAGTATTTATAATAACTGTATATAAATTACTTTAATTTAAAAATATATGTATTTATATCAACAAAAACAACAAAAAAAACTTTTATAATAGACTATATAGTCTCTGGAAAATTATTTATATAGTATTCATAATAATGTATTTATAGTTAAAATAAATAAATAAATAAAATATACAATAATTAACAACAAATTAACAACAAAAACAAATACCTGATAGTCATCGCTGGCCTCTAAATCCAATCTGGATGTCAGTCCCTGTAGTTTTTGCCGGAATTTTGTGTTTCGCCGATAGAGAAACATTACAACACTGGCTACCAGTGCTACCAATATTAGGCCGCATAGTGTCAACGTTAATGTTGTCAACCGATGTGCCGACGATGATAGTAGGCTACTGTCAGCCGAGTTGGCCAAACGATCCGATGATTGTATGCCAAGTGTTAGCTAATTAATTAATTATATATATTTATAAAATTAATTAAAAATAATAATAATAATAATAATAACACTTTAAGTTGATTAAATCTATTGATATATTTATGAAATAATAATCATATTATATAATAGTATTATTTATTATCACAATTATTATTATTTGTATTAGTATTCATTATAAATATTATATATATATACCAATTATAATCAAATATTTCACAACTGTATATATCATATATTATATAACAGATATTATAAATATATATATAGCATCAATTCATTATTATATATATGTATATATATTTATCATATATTTATTTTTTAGTAATCAAATTATAATTAATAGAACTATATATATAAATAAATAAATTAAATATTGATTTAAAAATATTGAATTATTATAATATTTTTTTTTCAAAAAATTTTTGTTTTGTATCACTCACTTCCCATTTCCCACTAACACATACATACAGACAGACATAGAGAGTACTACTCATATACTCTCCATTTGTCTTTGAATTGAACTGAGAGATGAAAGATAGATAGAGAGCGAGTGAGTGAGTGAGAGAAACGCTAACATTAATAAAACTTGTAGTCATATATATATATATATATATACATACAGTACACACACACACACACATACACACACACATACATACACACACACACACACACACACACACATACACACACACACACACACACACACACACACACACACACACACACACACACACACACACACACACAGAATATAAATGGTTTCCTTAGATACCAAAGAGCAACACATGAAGTACCAGAAAATATTTTTCTGAAGGGGATCTCAACCATTGAAATTAGAGAGAGAGAGAGAGAGAGAGAGAGAGAGAGAGAGAGAGAGAGAGAGAGAGAGAGAACTGGGAGATAGAAAGCACTGGTAGATAGTAGTATATATATATACTGTATATAATATATTGAGGAGAGCAGCAGCAGCACCAGTAGTACCGGGGAAAACACTGTACTCTATGACAGCTACCGTATATATATTGATATATAAAGAGGAATGGTTGCAAATTTTATGTACATTAGACACACACACACATAGAGAATATGCTTAAAAATATTATATTATTATGTTCTCTCTCTCTCTCTCTCAATAGAAAAGATATTTTGCATTTTTCATTGTCTATAATATATATACGAAAATTATGTTTTATCTTAATATTATTCACTATAAATATACTGCATATATATATATATATATATATATATATATATATATATATATATATATATACAATACTTAGTATTAATAATATTAATACTGTAGTAAACTATATATATATAGCTTATATGTGTGTGTATATGCATATGAATTTATATTAACATATTCTACAATACAATACAATAATACAGTACAGAAACTGTATTTTCTAACTGCACTTTAACTATACAAATGTATATAAGATATACCGGTATATACTATATATATATAATCCAACATTTAATGCATTTCGTACTAATTTGGGAGCAAATTTTTTTTAAACATTATTTTTAATGCATTGTCAATACAGTGTATAGTATAACACACACACACACACATCAAATGCTTAGGCATTATCATCAAACATAACATTAAGCATAATATTAGGCATTATTAGTATTACTGTTAAAAAACCGGAGCACATAACAAATAAATATGCAAAATAATAATAATAATAATAATACAAATAATGGTTGTCTAAGATTTGAATTTAAAAACTTTACAAAATATTATTTTCCTATATACAGTATATATATATATATATATTTATGTACAGTATATTTCCTATATTAATACAGTATTACTGATATTGACTGATATGTTATGAAGAGATTATGTTTTAGATATTATTATTATTATTATTAAATATAAATACATTAAAAATGTTTGTTAAATAATGAGTGAGTGAGTGAGTGAGTGAGTGAGTGAGTGAGTGAGTGAGTGAGTGAGTGAGAGTAGCAAATATATTGTACATATGTTTTTGTCGATCGTATATATATATATATATACTATATATATATACTGTATATGTATGTATGTTATGTATTAAAAAATAGATTTTTATTTCACTATTACTTTGGTTTAACTTAAATGCAAACTCTCTCTCTCTCTCTCTCCTAAAATCTCTGGCATTTGAATGACTCAAATCGTCGATTTAATTCCCAGTAAATATCCAGTAAAAAGACTACATTTTTCTGGTATATATATATCTACTCTTTACAAATAAATAATATGAGAGGTTGTTATGTCACATGAAAGGCATTAATGTTTTTTTTACTTCAACTAAAATGTAACCTAAACTCTCTTTTTACTCTCAAAACTTGAATCTCAATGTATGTGTGTGTGTGTGTGTGTGTGTGTGTGTGTGTGTGTGTGTGTACTCAATGGTATAAAACTTTATATATATAAATATAATCATTAAATGCTTTCTTGTATATAATGAATAAGTGAATTGAAGAGAGAGAGAGAGAGAGAGAGAGAGAGAGAGAGAGAGAGAGAGATTTGAAAATACAAAAGTGATTTATATAAATATAAAGATTGTAATTACTTATCCAACGAGTGTTTTTGAGAGACATATATATCAATATATATATATATTATAATAAGAGAGAGAGAGAGAGAGAGAGAGAGAGAGAGAKAGAGAGAGAGAGAGAGAGAGAGATAGTAAGGTATATAAATATATATTGTTTTTATAATTGAAAGCAAATACTATTATAATAAATATTTTGTAAAGTTTTGTACGTCTAAGCACTTTAATGTTTTATTTATTTTTTTGTGTCTACTAATTGATTGTTAATTGAATAGTGTCTATATATATATATATATATACAGTATTAATAAAATTAGATGATGACAAACAAATACAAATAGTGATATCAAATTGATATTATCAATACATCAAAATCAAACCAACAACAAAACTATACCTGTTTTTTCAAGTTAACAGGTTTTAACATTATAAAAGTAATGGTATATTAGTACTAATAGTAGTATGAATAGCATATATTTAGTACACAATCAATAGACTGTATACTGTATATATATATATAGATAAAGTATATACTGTATATGTATATAACTAAAAAAAATAATACAATATATATAAAAGCAAAAATCTCAATTTATCGATTGGGTCTCTCTTTTATATTTTAAACATAAAATATGATAATAATAATAATACTAATACCTAATATAAATTACATACCAAATCTCTCTCTCTCTCTCTCTCTCTCTCTCTCTCTCTCTCTCTCTCTCTGATGTTAGACAAACAACAACAACAATAATAATAATAACAAAAAATTTTAATTTAGTCGGAAAGAGACTTGAGATGACAGGTTATATATACAGTATATATATATATATATATATATCAATATATATTTAGATTTTATCTATTATTATTATATTGTGTAGTCTTATAATATACTGTACAGAATATATCATATATATATATATATATACTGGTAATGTATATATGAATAATAGAGTGCATTGATATTTAGTATCTGAGAAAAAAAGAGTTCATATTTCACAAACTTTTATATATATATATATATATATATTGATAGATAGATAAGTGATACTCAAACTCATCAATGCTATTAATGATAGAGAAAAAAGAGTGAAAGAGAGAGAGAGAGAGAGAGAGAGAGAGAGAGAGAGAGAGAGAGAGAGAGATGAGAGCTAAACTAAGAGAGACTATCCATTTCATCAACTATTATAAACTAATTGATATAAACATTATATACTGTATATATACAGCAGTTTAATGTTATCAATATAATAACAGAAAGCAAAAAATCCATTAAAACATTTTCTGGATAAGTATTGATATATCTATTATCAGTCTATATATATATATATATATATACCGATATATATATTAATAGAAATATTCAATGGAAAAGTTATATAAATGTTTTCAAATTTAACTTTTATTCATTTAATTTGTAATTATAAACCTATTTATTTTATTTATTTTTTTATGTAGATAACAAATTAATAATGTTTTTTTCAATGGTCAAATATATATAGTATAGTATAGTATACTATGCATACACACACACACACACACACACACACACACACACACACACACACACACACACAATATTATAAGATTATCAATGTAAGTGAAAAAACAAAAAAAATTATATATATATATATATACACTGTATATTGTTATTATAATATACTAAATTAATATATCGTATATCTAGTAATATAATGTTATAATGTAATAGTTGTCTTAATAATATCAATAGTTTGCTTTTGGGCACTGTCTAAAAAAATTGCATAATTATTATTATATAATATATATATACAGTATATATATTGTATTACAACTATATAATAATAATAATATTATTAAATTAAAATAAAAGTTATTTTCTATAATACTGTTATACTTTACTATAATACTATAATAATATGCTAACACACATACACACACACACACACACATAAATTGTATATTATTATTATTAAACAAAATAATAATAATAATAATATTTAATAAGTGGTAACAAAAACTTTTTAATTAAAACATCTGTTGTTTCTATTCATAGTTAGTTTGTTGGAAAATATTTGTTATTATAAATATACGGTATATTTAGTTATAATTTAATTTAGTGACAGTTTTTAAAATAAAGGAAATAAGTGTCTATTTTTTATATAAACGGGTTATTATTATTATTATAAACTTGTTGTAATTTATCAAATAATATACTTTATAATATAATATATATATAACTTTATTATTGTATAAACTGTTAGTAGTAGTAGTAGTAGTAGTAGTAGTCCTAAATTATTAAAATACAATATATTCAAGTTTGTCTTATATATATATATATATTATATATTATAAATATATTAAATTATAGTATTTTTATATGAAAATAGTTTATCCAACACATCAACAACAACAACAACAATCATACATATCATTCAATAACAAAAACATTTTCAAATCACTTATACTATA